TAATAAAATAGCCTAATACTGGGCCAAGATGGTACACAAGATGACTGACTAGAAAATAGGAACTTTCATTGTTTCCACTGTTTGCTGAACCATAGTAAAGCTCAATGATCCTGCAATGTCAGAGGACACAACATGGAAAATCTGAACTTTCACTCCCACCAACAGTAACAGAGAGGTCCTCCGTCACCCCACTGAAGTGCTGTCACAGAAGGCCTGGTGGAGAGTTAGGCCAACCACCCCAACAGTAATGAGGCTACCCTCTCCGGGGAATCAATGAAGCTCACATTGGGAGCCAGAACTAAAGCTACCTGGCAATAACAAAGACCCCTCCTACAACATCCCCCCAAAAAAACAATGGTGTCAACAAGAGCCAATTTAAAAACTTGAACTTGCTAGGCACTATGGCTTGTGCCTGTATATCCCAGCCACTCAGAAGGCGAAGTGGGAGGACTGCTTGAGACCAAGAGTTCGAGACCAGCCTGGGCAACGCAGTGAGACCTTAACTCAAAAAAAAAAAAAAAAAAAAGAAAAAGAAAAGGAAAAAAAGTCATTAGTTGGGCATGGTGGCATGTGCCTATCTGCCCAGCTACTCAGGAGGATTGCTTAAGCCCAGAGGTTCAAGGCTGCAATGAGCTACAGTATGCCACCACACTCTAGCACAGGCAACTGAGCAAGACCCCCACCTCTTAAAAATAAAAACTTGTACTTCCATCCTCACCTGACAAAAACAAGGTAGCATGTCCCTTTTCCTCTACTGGAAAAGTATCAGAAAAGGCCAGCTAAAACAAAAGGTTTAGATAGAATCCATAGTATTACAATATCCCAAATGTCCCAGTTTTGATAGAAAATCCCTGGTCAGCTGGGAATGGTGGCTTACGCCTGTACGCCCAACACTTTGGGAGGCCAAGGCTGGTGGATCACTTGATATCAGGAGTTCGAGACCAGCCTGGTCAACATGGCAAAGCCCCCATCTCTACTAAAAATACAAAAATTCGCCGGGTGTGGTGGTGCATGCCTGTAATCTCAGCTACTCTGGAGGCTGAGGCAGGAGAATCGCTTGAACCCAGGAAGCAGAGGTTGTAGTGAGCTGAGACTGCACCACTACACTCCCACCTGGGCGACAGTGGGAGACTCCAACTCAAAAATAAATAAATATAAAAAAGAAAAACCACTGGTCATATCAAGAAGAAAGATTTGAAACTGAATGAAAAAGGTAACAGAAGCCAACACTACGATGACAGAGATCCTATGGTTATCTGACAGACTTTAAGGCAATAATGATAAAAATGTTTAAAGAAACAATCACAAACAAGCTTGAAATAAACCAAAAGAGGGTCACAGCAAAGAAATAGAAGTCTCAGAAGAGAAAGTAAAAAGAAGAGCCAAGTGGAAATTTTAAAACTGAAAAATACAGGCTGGACCTGGTGGCTCATACCTGTAATCCTAGCACTTTGAGAGGCCAAGGCAGGTGGATCACTTTAGGCCAGGAGTTCGAGATCAGCCTGGCCAACATAGTGAAACCCCATCTCTACTAAAAACACAAAAATTAGCCAGGCATGATAGCATGTGCCTATAGTGCAGCTATTCAGGAGGCTGACGCAGGAGAACTGCCTGAATCTGGGAGGCAGAGGCTGCAGTGAGCCAAAATTGTGCCACTGTACTCCAGCCTGGGTGACAGGCTGAAACTCTGTCTCAAAAAAAAAAAAAAAAAAAAAAAACCAAAATAAGAATAGTAGATGAGCTCATCAGCAGAAATAGGAAGAGAAAAAGTGAGAAAAGAATTAATGCACTGGAAGACAGAACAACAGAAATTAACTGGCCTGAAAAATAGACAGAAAATAGACACATAAAATAAATAAGAAACAGCTCAGGGACTGTCAGAAATAAAATACCTAACATTCCTGTTCTCAGAGTATGATTCCATTTATATGAAATATCTAGAATAAATACATAGAAAGCAGACTGATGATTACTAGGAGCTAAGGGAATGGGGTAATGGGAATTGACTGTTTAATGGGTACAAGGTTTTATTTGATGTGGTAATATGTTTTGGAACTAGATAGTGGTGGTTGTTATGCAATGTTGTGAATGTAGTAAATGCCACTAAATTATATACTTTAAAATACTTAATGTTATGCTATATTAATTTCACCTAAATAAAAAAAAAATAAACCTAGAAAACTAGAAACTTAAAAGCACATCAATCTCATCAAAAGTGTACATAAAAAAAGTACATTAAAATACCATACATGGTTTTAAATCTTAAAATGTCTTTTTTTGAGAATGTGACCAAACCAGAAAGTCCATTATTGCCACTTCTATTCAACATTGTATTGAAGAACCGGAACAAAACAAAGGAATAGAAGGTATACAAACTAAAGAGGAAAAAATAAATCTTTCTTTATATATAGATGTTCTGATTGTGTATGTAGAATATCTAAAAAAATTTAGAGAAAAATAATTAGAAAAAGCAAGTTAGCAAGACTGGTAGATAGAGCAATATACAAAAATCAATTGCATTCTCTATGCCAGCAACAAAATTTTTTTTATTTTTTTAATAGTGATATTCTTTTAAAAATAACAAAGTATTTTTAAAGACATTCTTAATGATAACATAAAAAATATATAACCTCGGTAAAAAGATGTACAAACTATTATATGGAAAACTGTGGCTAACTATTGAAAAAAACTAAAAAAGACCTAATAGAGATATGGACCAGGTGTAGGGATTAGAAAGCATTCTAAAGAGATAAATTCTCCCCAATCTATAGATGATGCAGTATCAATTAATATCCAAATAAGTGTGTGTCTATGTGTGAGAAACTCAACATGCCGATTCAAAACTTTATATGGAAATACAAAAGACCAGTGAAAATGATTTTAAAGAACAAAATGGGAAGACTTTATCTACTATATACTTACTATAAATATATAATAATTAAGATGGTATGGTATGCCATTGGCTTAATTATAGACAAAGAGACCAGTAAAACAGGATACAGCCCATAAACTGACCCACCCATATGAGATAATTTAAAACAAAGGTGGTGTTGCTGAACTGTAAGAAGAGAGTCTTCAATAAATGCTGCTGGGACAACCAGGTCACTGTGTAGGAAAAAAAAAAAAAAAAAAAACTTGGGCCTTTCTTTATATTATACACTAAAATTAATTCTAGTTGGATTGAAAATCTAAATGTGAAAAGCAGAAGCACAAAGTTGCTATGATATGGGAAAATATCTTTAATAACTCAAGGCAGAAAAACTACTATGTCTAACAGCTAAAAGGCGATTTCCAGAAAAATAATGAGAACGAGCACCTTTTCTTTGTTTACTGGCCATTTAGGTATCTTCTTTTATAAAATGTCCATTTACATCTTTTGCCCAATTTTTTCTGTTGAACTGTCTTTTTAATTACCAAATTGTAAAAATTATTCATAATATTTAAATCTCAATAAGAAAACCAAAAAGACTGACAATAAATCTGGAGAGGAGAGGAAGCAACAGCTTGTAGCGTAAACTGGAATATTCACTTCAGAAAAAAAGTGGCATTATCTACTAAGGTTAAAAAAAAATACATATACTATGTATGACTCAGTAATTCCTCTCCTTGCCATATATACACTTGAAAGGTGGTATAGACAGGTACACAAAAAGACTTATGTGATACTGTTCATAGCAGCATTATTCCTAACAACTGAAACCTAGAAACAAATCCAATGACCATCAACAGTTGAAACGAATAGTGGTATGAGAAAAGAATAGTGGTATCATGGAACTAGTACTATAAAGCAATAAAAATAAGCTATAGATCAAGCTTGTCCAACCAGTAGCCCATGGACTGTATGTAGCCCATGATGGCTTTGAATGGGGCCCGACACAAATTCATAAATTTTCTTAAAACCTTATGAGATGGTGTGTGTGTGTGTGTGTGTGTGAATTCCTTTTTGTTTGTATTTTTAGTTCATCAGCTTTCGTTATTGGTAATGTATCTTATGTGTGACCCAAGATAATTCTTCTTCCAGTGTGGCCCAGAGAGGCCAAAAGATTGGACACCCCTGCTATAAATACTCTATATATAGGGTAACTATTACAGACATGTTGTCCAGAAGAAGCCAAACATAAAATATAAATTATTACAAATATATAAAGTTTAAAAATTAAAAACAAGCACTATAGTATATAGGGGAGATATTCTTAGGTATAAGCATGTATAAAGAAAGGGACTAATTATCATTAAAGTCAGGAAAATATTACTTAAGGAGGCTAGTAATGTTCTACTTCTTCATTCTTGTGGATATATGGAAATTTACTCTGTAGCTTGCTTTGTAAATCACTCAGCTGTATGTTGCATACTTTTTTATATGTATAATTCACAATTTTTTTTTTGAGACAGATTCTCATTCTGTCACCCATGCTAGAGTGCAAAGGCATGATCACGGCTTACTGCAGCCTCAATCTCCCAGGCTTAAGTCACCTCCGTCTCCCTAGCAGCTGGGACTACAGGTACATGCCACTAAGCCTGTTTTTTTGCTTGTTTGTTTTTTGTTTTGTTATTTTTTTGTAGAGACAAGGTCCCACTATGTTGCCCAGGCTGGGCTTGAACTCCTAAGCTCAAGCGATCCTCCCACTTTGGCCTGCTAAAATGTTTAGGTTACAGAAATGAGTCACTGCACCTTGCCTTATAATTCACAATTTTTTAAAAAGAGACTTAGAAGGGAGAGTGATTCAAAAATTAGGCTCAGCATCACGTCAAGGACGCTAGTCCTTTTCGCTGTTCTTTCAACAAATCCTGTTGGTTTAATTCTCCTTATGGTTGTGAGGCTACTACATAGATATATAATATTAATTTTTAAAAATTTCTTCTAGTTCTCTTTTATTCATGTGCTTGTTTATAATCATTTAAGTAAAATTTACATGAAATGCACGAATATTATCTCCATGCATCACTTAACAACAAGGATATGCTCTGATAAACACACTGTTAAGTGATTTCGTTGCTGCGTGAACATCAAAGAATGTACAGTACTTACACATACTTAGATGATATAGCCTATTATACACATAAGCTATACGGTATAGCCTATTGCTTATAGGCTACATGTTACTGTACTCAATATTATAAGCAACTATAACAAATCACTAGGCAACAGAAATTTTTAGTTCCATTATAATCTTATGGTAACACTGTTGTGTATGTGGTTATATGCAACACATGAATGTATACAATTTCACAAATTCACAAAAAAGAAAGCCTCAATTTCATCAAGATAAAAAACAATCCCATAACTCCACAAAGTTCCTTCATGTTCCTTTCCAATCACCTCACCCATAAGAGGCAACCACTTTTGCAGTTATTCTCAACATAGTTCCACCTGATTCAGAACATAATAAAGTGAAATTGTACTCTCATGTATTTGCCTCGTTTCACCCAAATGGCTGTGAGATTCACCTATGTTTTTGTATATCTTAGTAGCCTGTTCCTTTTTAAGGCTGAGTAGCATTTCATCGTTTAAATATACCACATATTGTTTATCCATTCTCCTGATGATGAGCATGAGTTTTTTTCTGGTTACAATGAATACAGCTGCTATGAATATTCTTGTACAAAACTTTCTGTGGACACATTTTTAGTGGGGGGTGGGTGGTGGTAAATATCGAAGAGAGGAATTGCTGAGTCATGGAGCAGGTTTATATTTAATTTTGTGTAAGAAACTGCCAAATCTTTTTCCAACATGGTTATACCATTTTCTGTTCCAACCAACAACATATGAGAATTCTGTTTGCTCCATGTTTTTCTCAATACCTTGTAGTTGCACCAGACCAATCTGGTTCAACTTTTATGTAACAAATAGTGAGTTATTTTTCAGCTGCCATGGATCCTCAGCTCACATAACCTGAGCATGCCCAGATGAGCCAAGACTGCAATCTTAGGATGAACCCAAGTGCTTGGACCAAGGAATGGGGAGTAAATTAAGAAGTCGACACTGCATGGCAAGATCCAGGCTCCAATCAGACCAAGCTCAGGCATCATCCCATGATAGGATCCAGTCAGATCATTCCTCTAGCATCATGTCATTGTAAGATCCAATCAGATCACGCCTTGTTATTCTATGCTGATAAAGCCTGACTCGGGCCCCTGCTTTGGGAACTATCCCCATGTTCTCCTTGCTTGTTGCAAGTAATAAAATCCTCATGGTAAATCCTCTTTGGCTGTGAGCACTGAGTTGATACCCACCAAGGAATCAAACCCACCTGTTGTGTGGGTAATAATGCGGTTGTTGAGTCTTTTTAATTGCAGCCATTCTGGGAGGTGTAAAGTGGTATCTCCTTGTGGTTTTATGTTTTCCTGAAGCACTTTTTCATGTAGTTAATGGCTGTTCACAGATCTTCTTAATCTATGAAAAGATTTTTGCTTTAAGAACCAACACAGCAAAGAATATTTACTTTGTAGCTGGCAAAATGGGGGATATTAATAGCTAATGTGTATAATAGAAATGAAAACAAATCCCCTGAATGTGCCTGATCTCGTCTGATCTCGGAAGCTAAGCAGGGTCAGGCCTGGTTAGTACTTGGATGGGAGAAATGAAAACAAATCTAAAATTTGTCTCACTCCACTAATTACCATTAGTTTCCTGAGCACACACTGCTGTTTTCTACCTCCATGTCTTTGTAAATCCTAATTTTCTTGCTCAGAAGGCTTTTTCCATCTCTTTGTACAGCCTTCAAAACCCAACTCAGGAAATGTATTACTTCCTCCATGTAAAGACCCTCCCAAACTTATACAGTTAATTATTCTGTGTTTTATCTTGCATTGTAGTATACATAACACATGGAATGTCACTTCGTCCATGACAAGAAACATGTCTTAACTCATCTTCATAACCCCAGCACCTAAACAACCACAGGCACATATTAAGAGCTCCAAAATATTAAATGAACAAATACTGTGTTCATCATTCTAATGCTACTTTAGCCTTGATTCAGTTTTCTCCTCCAAATTCAGAAAGTCTTCCAAACAATAGTGGACTGAATGCTAGCCCCTCAAAATATGTCATTTCCTAATCTCTTGATGGTATGAATATTACCTTATATCGTAAAGGGGGGGCAGTGATCAAATTAAGAATCTTAAGAGGAGTGGCTTATGCCAGATTATATGAGTGGGCGCAAAACACAGTCACATGTATCCTCTAAGACAGAAAAGGGAGGTCTGATGTGAAGAGGAAGAGGCAATGTGACCATGGAGACAGAGACTTGGAAAGATGTAGCCATAAGCCAAGGAAAGCCTGCAGCATAAGAAGCTGGAAAAGGCAAGGAAAGGATTCTGTCCTAGAGCCTTCATAGGGAATGTGGCTCTGCCAGCAAATTGATTTCTGACTTCTAATCTCTAAAACTTTGAAAGAATGAGTTTTTGTTGTTTCAAGCCACCTATTATACGGTAATTTGTTACAGCAGTCACCAGTAACTAATACAATGGCTTTCTCTTGTATTAATATTTACTCATAATAAAGTTTATCAAACTCAAAATTTCTAACACAATTTTAAATTCCTACCATGGTTAGAGTTCTCTAACTTCAACCAGTCAATATATAGCTATCAATTGCTTGTAAGACAGTTAAACAAGTATGAGATGCTTGAAATACAAAATAAAACATCTACTGTGCAGAGTTGACTAAATACATAAATTCATATCGACATTTTTTTTTCGAGACAGATTCTCACTCTGTCACCCAGGCCGGAGTGCAGTGGCACGAATCTCGGCTCACTGCAACCTCTGCCTCCCAGGTTCAGGCAATTCTCCTGCCTCAGCCTCCCAAGTAGCTGGGACTATAGGTGCAGGCCACCACACCTGGCTAATTTTTTGTATTTTTTTTTAGTAGAGTACAGGTTTCACTGTGTTAGCCAGGATGGTCTCGATCTCCTGACCTCGTGATCCCCCTACCTCTGCAACCCAAAGTGCTGGGATTACTGGCATCGGCCACTGCACCTGGCCAAAAATTTTCAAAAATAAAGTACATAGTTCAAACAGTAAAAACGGAAAAAAAGTAAAACATTGTCTTGATCAGCCTGTTAATCAGTGAGCACTTGTTGGGCTAGTCTCAGTGAAAAGCAGTTTTTAAAAGACTAGTACAACCTTTTCCGAAATTCTTCATCTTCTCTTTGCAAACATTACAAATACATACTTACATCCATGTGTCCTTTCTACAACTTCTTTTTACTGGTCCCAGCTCTATGGACCTCCATATGACCTTTTATTCTTCATAGAGACTGTATTTTTTAAGCAGTGAGTGGTACAATGTCTGCCCCAAAGTATGGTAATTCAAAATATTCAAAAGGCACAGCTGCTGATGCTCATGGAAAGCTTCCAAAACACATTCCATTAAAAGCACATGCTATGCCTTTGAACATTTCAAAACAATGCTTTAAATACTACATGCCCTCAAAGTAAATGCTGTTTTTTAAAAACATTAAAAGTCTAGGGAGGACCTACATCAGGCATTTACTTTACTTAGAAACAAAACATTAGAAATTAATTTCTTCAAAATCCAGAGATAATCCTACACTAGTCACCCAAACAACCTTCGGATAGCCATCCAGGATGTCTTGTGTATAAAAAAAAAAATGTCACAACTTGACACCCTGCCAGAACCTGAAGTGCAGCTGGGAGCAGACCCTTCAAAACCCTGGTAAGGTGCCAGGCTCTGTAATTGTGATTTAGAAAGAAACAAGGGAGAGCAAGGAAAAAGGAAAGGAAGAAGATACATATTCGAGTGGTTAGCAATCAACCACCAAGCACTCTAAATTAAAATGTTATTCTATTTTTACGATTATACTGTCTGCCTCTGCACAGCTTCATTCACACAAAAGAATTCTAGAAAGCAGGGCATAGTAATGAGTCAACCTCAGATGCTTAGAAGTAAATTACCAAAGTCTCTGAAAGTTGTGATCTGAAAGGCAAAAATGATTCTTGTCCAAATTCATTTTAACAATTCTTAATGTAGGGTCTGTTACAATTATATGGGGACTTTCCAGAAGATTTATGGGCACTGAGCACCTCTGTGTGAGTTGTAGATTCTTCTTTGCTCACAGTCCCATCTTTCTTCTGAAATAGAAAAGGCTACCCATAATGTGGCTGCTAATACACAATAAAGATTGTCTACTGATACAACAACATATCCTGAAAATTTTTTAAAATAAATCCTGATTTAATTTTATTTCCATAAGATTTATGCCTTAGTCTGAAAAGTAAATAAAGAGAAGCTGATACTTAAAACTGAGTTTAACTGATATTTTTACTGCAGTTGACACAAACAGTCTCCTTATCTTTTCCAATTTGTCACAAAGTAAGTGTAAAATTTTTCAGCCAGAAAAAGGAGATAAATAAAAGCCATTCTCAAGACACAGGTTAATTTTAAAACAATACACTTTTAAAAACTGATTAAACAACCAATATTTATTGAGTGACTGCTATACCATATTTACTGAATAATCTACTTACAGTAAATGGGCTTTGAGAGACAAAAAAATATACAGACCATCAAGTCAAGCACACTTCTTATCAGGAAAGAAGAGCACTTGCCCATATTCAGAGTACTCCATGGATATTTTTTAAGTGCCTTTAATTTGCTAGAAGACTTGGTTGAATACAGGAATACAGACATAAATAAAATAAAATCCTTGTCCTCAAGTAGTTTATGATGGTCAGTGGACTATACTTGTTAACCAACAACTGCTGACTGAAAAAGGATGAGAGAAAATGAACTATTTAACCATTCTGAACTTAAATTTTTTTACCATATATTCAAAGTCATAAATTCAGAAAGTTTTTAAATTATAAAACATTAAGGAATTCAACAAAGAGATGACAGGAAACACCTAAATCAAGGAAAGTGAGAGAAGTGAGGCAGCCTGCTTATCTGAGATCAGCTAAGGGCCCGCAGAGACTTCCCAATCTGAGGAAAGGATAAATGAGAGATGCCCAGGGGTCCACATTTCCACCATGGCCACCTGCAATCCTAGCCACAGTAGAGGCCCTGGACCCTCGTAGGCCCTGAAACTAACATAAGGAGCTGCATGGAGACTGCATAACAGCACCACTCCAGAGAGGGAGCTCACGCTGGGGCACACTAACCTCCCCGCTCCCCACCCCAGTCCTAAGCATCTATAGAAGGACACCATTTTGAGAATCCAGTCCCAACAGACTACATCTTGCCCTTGGGCTCAACAGCACCTGCCTCTTCACATGCCTAGAATCCCACTGACATATCCAGCCCACAGCTGCCACCATGCCTGGTTCCTGATGCTGTGGCCAAGGTGCAAGCCACTGGCTACAACCCTACCCACTGGCTCCAACCCCACCCACTGCCTCCAGCAGTGGAGCCACCACTCATTTTCATGTGCCCAGAATCCCTCACCCAGAGCTGCCATCACTGTGCTCCTGGGGCTAAGGAACAAGCAAAGCATGAGCTTCCACTGCCTGGGCTAAAGCACGAGCCAAGCATGAGCTGCCACCATCAGGACTAAAGTGTGAGTGAAACACGGGCTGCACTGCCAGGGCTGAAATACAAGCCAAGTATGGACCACCACTACCAGAGCTAAAATGCAAGTGAAATGCACGTTCCTAATACTTGCCCGCATATAGCTGGTATCAATCACTGAAAGCTACTCTGCCCTCCCCAGCAGCAAGGCTGCAGCACAGACACTGCCTCCCACAACATGAACACTGTGTCTGTGGCCTAAGAATTACCCCACCTCTTCCAAACACAGCCAGCACCTACACGCACCACTGGAGACCCTAAAGACAAGCCTACCTGGCCTTGCCCACCCCCATGCCAGAGCACACAATCCAGAGGCCTGGAGATCACACAGCTCAGTCTACCACCATCGGCAACTAAGCACTCTTCCCAGGAACCTGAGATTGGGCCCACCCACCCAGCCACTAACATCACAGCAAGAAAATATCAAACCTCCAAAAGAATACAATAACCCTCTAGCAACAAATCTCAATTAAAAAAAAAAAATTCACAAAATCCTGGAAAAACAATTTAAAATATCGATTTTAAAGAAGCTCAGTGAGATACAAGAGAATACTTAAAAATTACATAAAGAAATCAGAAAAGTAATTCCTAGAATATAAATGAGAAATTTATAAAAGAGACAGATAGCATAAAAAAAAAGAAATTCTGGAGCTGAAGAATTCACTGAGTGAAATACAAAATACATTTGAAAGCTTCAACAACAGACTAAATCAAACAGAAGAAAGAATCTCAGAACTTGAAGATAGGTCTTTCAAGTAATCCAATCAGACAAAAATAAAGAAGAATAAAAAAGAATGAGCAAAGCCTTTGTGACACATGGGCACCATAAAGCAACTAAATATTCTCATTTTCAGAGTCTC